AAGTAAATTATTTGTTTCTGGCCATTTTGAGCCTGTAGTCGAACCCACAATTGCTGATACTCCAGATACTCAACTAGTCTCAAGAAGGCCAGGTTTTATTGCTCCTTTAATCAGCACAACAGTTTTCAGCTGTGCTAACATAATTGCAAAAGGGTTTTCTAATGATCAATTAGCCTTTTAAAATGATAAACTTGGATTAGCAAACACAACGTGCCATTGGAACACAGGAATGATAGTTGCTGATAATGGGCCTCTGTACGCCTATGTAGATATTCCATTAAAAATCAGCCGTTTCCAGCTACAATAGCCATTTACAACATGAACAATGTCTACACTGTGTTTCTGATGAATTTGATGTTATTTTAATGGAGAATTTTTTTTTTTTTGCTTTTCTTTCGAAAACAAGGACATTTCTAAGTGACCCCAAACCTTTGAACGGTAGTGTATATATGTAAATACACTACCAGTCAAAAGTTTGGACACACCTACTCATTCAAGGGTTTGCAAAGAGTGTGCAAAGCTGTCATCAAGGCAAAGGGTGGCTATTTGAAGAATCTCAAATATAAAATACATTTTGATTTGTTTAACACCTTTTTGGTTGCTACATGATTCCATATGTGTTATTTCAAAGTTTTGATGTCTTCACTATTATTCTACAATGTAGAAAATTGTAAAAATAAAGAAAAACCCTGGAATGAGTAGGTGTGTATGAAAATGTATGCACTCACGAACTGTAAGTTGCTCTGGATAAGAGCGTCTGCTAAATGACTAAAATGTAAAATGTAAAATGTTTGTCCAAACTTTTGACTGGTACTTTACATTGACTGGGTATCTCAGTGATTTCCCATGTTTGCCTCCATCTTAATCTTAGAGACAACATTCAATCCCCTGTCTGTCTGCCTGAGTGTTGTGAGGATTCCAGTCCATCCTTCCCCAGACAACACCATATGTACCTGATCAGTCATCTTCTTTCCTGTCAGCTGGGAGACAAGGACAGAGGCTACGCTCAATGGCTTGGCGTCTAATCTGACTGTTTTTGTTGTTGTTGTTGTTGGCATTTGAGTCCAAATAGTATGGTGGCCAATAAAAGGTTTAAATTATCATGACGCAAAAATCTGATATTGTATGGCCTGCCCTCACGTGGGTTGTTGTTGTTGTAATAATAATATGCCATTTGGCAGACGCTTTCATCCAAAGCGACTTACAGTCATGCGTGCATACATTTTTTGTGTATGGGTGGTCCCGGCGATCAAACCCACTACCTTGGCGTTACAAGCACCGTGCTCTACCAGCTGAGCTACAGAGGACCACATGTTGTGAAAGGGACATCCTGTTAGTATTGTCCCCCCTGAAGTGGATGAACCGCTGGTTTTGGGTTTTACAGGTGGTCGTGCCCAAGTTGTGCCGAGTTGTACCAGTGTCAAACTCTCCTTAACGTCGCTTGATCTGGATCATCCTGTAATTCCAAGGTAGCAGCAACAGAATCAAGGAAGTGAAGCGACACCTGCTCCCGGAATACAGGTAGAACTTTTATGCCTCTCAGACCTTAAGATCTTCTACCCTCTAGTGGTAATCTTGGGTGGTACACTATTTACTCAGAGAAGCCTTTGTATAAAAACATATGGTTTAGACCATCTTTAGTGACCTCTGTTGTTGAGATAACATATTACACCAACCTCTGCGCGAGTTAGTTCAGCTGGTGTTTGGTCACCAAAAGGTAGCCTACTAATATAAAACCAATATACATTTTAATTTGGTTGGATTGGATTTAGTTGGACATACAAATCTATGAAATACTTTCCAAGATAAGTCAGGGTGCTTTCTTCAATTGTTCATTTGTTGACATTTTTAAGATTCCATGCAAACATTTGAAACCCCACCTCTTTAAGGAATACCTGTGATAGGATAAAGTAATCCTTCTACCCCCCCCTTACCCTAACCCCCCCCCCCCCCCCCCAAAAAAAAAAAAAAAAAAACATTGTAAAGTGGTTATCCCACTGGCTATAAGGTGAATGCACCTATTTGTAAGTCGCTCTGGATAAGAGCGTCTGCTAAATGACGTAAATGTAAATGTAAATGTAATGCAGGCCTAGTTCAAATATAAATTTTTTAATATCGCCATATTTAATCATATATCTGACTCGAAATCAGCAGAATTAATTATGTAATGTTGTGGGAATTAATGGATACACCTTGACCACACTCTGAGAGGCAACGTAGAGCTTTGAAACATGCTGGATGGGAGCAAACCAGGCCACGGTAACAGCGATATGGGACATGATGCTAAAACATGCAGGCTGAAGTAGAGTAAGATAAATAATTCAGATACTAGTACTAGACTAACACAATTCTAATCAGAATGCCATTAAAACAACTGCTAAGGTGTGGGGGGGAAAAGGTCATTTGATATCTTAAAACCCTTGATAACCCATTCAATTAATCTTGTCTGTGTGCAATGCGTGTTTAGACTATATGAACCAATAAAGGATGTCATGTAATGAATGGTTATAGCATTATGTGTGATATTTAACCAATAAGGCCCGAGGGGGTGTGGTATATGGCCAATATAACACAGTTAAGGGCTGTTCTTAAGCACGACGCAACACGGAGTGCCTTGATACAGCCCTTAGCTGTGGTATATTGACCATATACAACAAACCCAGAGGTGCCTTATTGCTATTATAAACTGGTTAGAACGTAATTAGAACAGTAAACAAGTCGTTTTGAATCATACCCGTGGTATATTGTCTGATATACCACGTCTTTCAGCCAATCAGCATCCAGGGCTCGAATGACACGGTTTATTTAAATAAAAAGCATTATACATTTATTATTAATGCATTATACAGTACATGGTTGGTTAATAGAAATGACTCCACCTGCATCTCTTTCTTCCTCTTTTTAGTTATAATGGAGTTCACTGCCAAAGCAACTCTTTTTAATTATAATGGAGTTCACTGCCAAAGCAACTGCGAAGACAGATGGACAACTGCAACACCCCTTGACTTTTTCCACATTTTGTTGTGTTACAGCCTGAATTTAAAATGGGTTAAATAGACATTTTTTTGTCACTGGCCTACACACAATACCCCATCATGTCAAAGTGGATCAAAGTATTTTTTTTTTAATTTAGCAATTCATTAAAAAATTTAAGCTGACGTCTTGAGTCGATAAGTATTCAACTCCTTTGTTATGGCAAGGCTAAATAAATTCAGGAGTAAAAATGTGTTTAACAAGTCACATAATAAGTTACATGGACTCACTCTGTGTGCAATAATTGTGTTTAACATGATTTTTGAATGACTTCCTCATCTCTCTGCCCCACAAATGCAATTATCTGTAAGGTCCCTCAGTCGAGCAGTGAATTTCAAACACAGATTCCACCACAAAGATCAGAGAAGTTTTCCAATGTCTCGCAAAGAAGGGCACCTATTGGTAGACGGGTAAAATTAATAAAAGCAAACATTGAATATCCCTTTGAGCATGGTGAAGCTATTAGTTACACTTTGGATGGTGTATCAATACACACAGTCACTACAAAAGTACATGTGTCCTTCCTAACTCAGATCCCAGAGAGGAAGGAATCCGTTTGAGGCCAGTGGTGACTTTAAAACAGTTACAGAGTTTTATGGCTGTGATAGGAGAAAACTGAGGATGGATCAACAACATTGTAGTTACTCCACAATACTAACCTAAATGACAGAGTTAAAAGAAGGAAGCCTGTACAGAATAACAAATATTCCAAAAAATCCATCCTGTTTACAACAAGGCACTAAAGTAATACTGCAAAAAATGTGGCAAAGCATTAAACTTTTTGTCCTGAATAGAAAGTGTTATGTTTGGACCAAATCCAATACAACACATTACTGAGTACCACTCTCCATATTTTCAAGCACAGTGGCGGCTGCATCATGTTATATGTATGCTTGTAATCGTTAAGGACTGGGGAGGTTTTCAGGAGAAAAAAATAATTAATGAAATGGAGCTAAGCACAGGCAGAATCCTAGAGGAAAACCTTGTTCAGTCTGCTTTCCACTAGACACTGGGAGAAGAATTCACCTTTCAGCAGGTTAATAACCTAAAACACAAGGCCAAATCTACACTGGAGTTGCTTACCAAGAAGATAGTGAATGTTCCTGAGGGGCCGAGTTACAGTTTTGACTACTTGAAAATCTATGGCAAGACCTGAAAATAGTTGTCTAGCAATGATCAACAACCAATTTGACAGAGCTTGAAGAATATTAAAAATACACAAATGGTGCACAATCCAGGTGTGGAAAGCTCTTAGAGACTTACCCAGAAAGACTCAGAGCTGTAATCGCTGCCAAAAGTGCTTCTACAAAGTATTGACTCAGGGGTGGGAATACTTATGTACTAAATTAGATATTTCTGTATTTATTTTTCAATAAATTTGCTAAAATTTCTAAAACCACGTTTTCACTTTGTCATTATGGGGTATTGTTTGTAGATGGGTGAGAGAACAAATCTATTTAATCCATTTTGAATTCAGGCAGTAATGCAACAAAGTGTGGAATAAGTCAAGGGGTATGAATACTTTTTGAAGGCACTGTAAAGGATATCTGTATCAACATTGCCATTTCGAGGTGTAGGCAATTATTACATAAAATATGCATGATTGTAATTTGTCAAGCACCAAACACATTGCACTTGTAAACTCTTCTCTTATTGTACTGTAATGATTGCCTTCCTAAAGTACAGTCATATGGCATGCAGTGGGTTAGTTATCCTGCCCCTAATGGTGGCCATGTCAACTGTCACAGCGAAATAGTAACTTGCCAAAAAAAGTATTTCACTGCCTTATATAAGGAATCGATACAAGATGTCCTATTCTACAAACTAAGAGGGCTAATCTCTTTGAGGATAGTTATAGTTATCAAAGAAAATCTGCTTGCGATCCACGACGTTAATCAGATCTTTAACTACATTGGGAGCTGAGGTGCAGTGAGCTTTCATTATTGTGTCATGCGGAGGTGACAGCCTTAATTGTAATTGTCACAGTAGGTGTCCAGCCCCACGCTCTCCTCCCAGTCCTTGGCCATGCTATTCTTCTTGTTCTTCTCCGCCATGATAATGGCAGCTACCACAGTGATCACCACGGTGACCGTCAGAATGAGCACCGTCACGGTCTCTCCGACACACAGCTCATCATCCACTTCTCCCATGGACCTGCCCTTTAGCTCGGTGGGCTGGCTGCACCTCAGCTCCTGGTAGTCATCCAGGAAGATCCTGTGGATGCTGGAAAGCTTCCTGAACACCCTCTGCAGGTCGCAGTCACAGTGCCAGGGGTTGCCCTCCAACAGGACGTGGAGGCTGGGGGTGTGGATGCTCAACAGGGTCCTGTAGCCCAGGGTGCTTAGGTGGTTGAGGGCCAGGTCCAGCAGAGTTAGGGAAGACATAGGGGTGAAGACTCCTGGCTCAGTGGATCTGATCAGGTTCCCCCGAAGGCCCAGCACCTCCAGGGAGCGCAGCGTGGAGAAGAGGCCGGAGCCCAGGGAGGTGAGATGGTTTCCCTCCAGGTGGAGCTGGCGCAGGGCTGTCAGGGAGCCCAGGGCTCTGGGTTTTACTGTGGAGATGAGGTTGCTGCTCAGGTCCAGCTTCTGGAGGCTGTCCAGGCTGTGGAAGGTCCCACTCTCCAGGACGGTAAGATGGTTGTGATCCAGCAGGAGCTCGGTTAGGGATTCAAGGCCCAGGGAGAAGCCAGGCCCCAGGGCAGAAAGGCGGTTACGGCTCAGGTCCAGACTCCTGAGCCGATGGAGGGTAGAGAAAGCTCCGTTAGCTACATGGCTGATGTTGTTCTCTTTTAAAAGGAGCACCCTCAGGCTCCACAAGGTTCCAAAGGAACCTGCTTGGAGCGCTGTCAACAGGTTTCTGGACAGGTCCAGGTACTCTGTGTTGTGGGGGACGTTCCTAAGAGGAGTGGTGAGATTCCCACCCGAGCAGTTTATATATTTGATATCTGTGAGGCAGCTGCACCCGTCATAGCAAGCAGTAGTTTTCTTCAATGGAAAAGTGATAGCATACATGAGGAAAAGGAACCAATGGGATGAATCCATCCTGTTGCTGAAAGAAATAAAAGAGCAAGGGCTCATACATTTTGCAACATACCCTGAAAAATGATATGACGTTGAATTATTTGTTAGTGTTTGTGCGAACGCTACTCCCACAAGGCTGAGACAAACATCAGATACTTTACCCTGTCTAAAAACAATAGCTGTTGAAACACTGTGTGCTGAATATACCTTGTGCTGGTTTAGAGTGTTACTGTAATTAACGACAGTTTTGTCAAACATACAAAGCGACAGGAACAATAACTGCTTTTAGCACACTATTAAGCGAAAATCAAGACGAAGAATCCACGCCTTACCTGTTGTCTGTGGTAGCCTAATTGTAAAACTCAGCACACCATGTAGCATCTGTCTGGTTTGAGACCAGACTGCCAGCAGACGAACCACACGGAGCAGACAGACCAGACAGCTGACCTGATCCATCTGTCAACCTCTGAAAATAAGGGCTGGTCTGCCCCACTCCCCCTCCACCCCTCCACCCTTCCACTCCCCTCTAGTGCACCCGTTGACACGTGAGGGCCGCTCTGACAATGGCGGTGTGAATAATTCACACAGTGGCAGGAAGAGAGCCAACTTCCCACCCTGCCTGGTCACAGTCACACACAGATGGAAGTCATGGCAGCGGGAAGATTTTTCCTGCGTTGTTAGGAGCTGGTAACTCAAGCATTTCGCTGTACCCGCTAGAACATCTGCTAAACTGTGTACGCCACCAAAAAACTTTGATTTGATTTGAAAGATGAGGAAGCCTTGGCACCGCATCAATAAACAACACTCACGATAGTACGACGGGGTTACAGAACACCCAGGTCTACAGTAGACTAGCCAATGACAGACACACCAGCTGTCTGTTTTCTCTGACTTCATCCAACATCATTAAGTGTTGCACTCCTTATTGACTAGACCTTATTCCACTCCGTCTCATTTAGTCACATGCTTACTGTGTAAACCCAACAGAGAGCAGGAGGATGCTGCCAGCTGCCTGGATCCTGGAGTCTGGAGTCTGCTGCTTCTCTGCGTCATTAAGATGTGTTGTGCTGGATCCCCACGGCTAAACCCAGCCCAGCTATCAAGTGAAGGAAACATGTTTGGAAAAGAGATTCATTACTCAACCGCTGTGAGCTGGGGCAGAACACCATGGGAGCAGATGAGTGCTGAACATCAAACCAGACTCTATCAAGAAGAACATGCAGGCCACCCAGGAAATTCCTTCCATTGTGATCAGCAAGGATATTGTGTAATTGCAATTCATTTCACCATGACATGTAACCCATCTATCAAATTACATTTGATATCCTATTTAGTTAAATATTTTTGTATTTAGACTGAAGCCTGTTGTGCTGGCTTCCTGAGTGGGTCTCAGTAAGAGACAAATACACCAGATGGCAGCATTGCCATGTGGTAGCACTTGACTTGCAGAGGGCAACAAGAGAAAGGCAAAGCTACTATAAATAATAATATGCCATTTAGCAGACGCTTTTATCCAAAGCGACTTACAGTCGTGCGTGCATACATTTTTGTGTATGGGTGGTCCCGGGGATCGAACCCACTACCTTGGCGTTACAAGCACCGTGCTCTACCAGCTGAGCTACAGAGGACCACAAACAAACTATGGAAGACATAATTATGGCAATTCATAGATCTATGCAAATAGCACTTCTGAGTAGAACCAGTATGATACAAAGCACTGCCCCCAAAATGATTTGTTTTGAGAAAAATAAGAAATGTTTGGTTCAGAACAACCTTTTCTCCATGTACAGCAGTAGCTATAGGAACCAGTGAGTGAATAAACAATAGTTACTTCTATACAATGTAAAGCGCTTCTAGACCTAGATGCGATAAAAAATATATTAATTGTTAATTTGTCATTAGCATTGTAAAACAATTACTCTTACAACGGTTACCATCTTATATTATGCAAACAAATACAGAAATGTTTTCATTCAAAGTAACTAAATGTATTACCACGTCAATTCAACGTCTCTTCCACGTTGGTTCAATGTAATTTCATTGAAATGACGTGGAAACAATGTTGATTCAACCAGTGTGTGCCCAGTGGGTTGATACTGAAAATAAAAAACACAAGACTGTGAAATCAACAACCTGTGTTTTCCAGTTGTTGTGTTTTCCAGTTGTTGTGTTTTACAGTTGTTGTTTTCCAGTTGTTGTTTTCCAGTTGTTGTTTGTTCCAGTTGTTTTCTTTTGCATTTGTTGTTTTTTCCAGTTGTTTTCCAGTTGTTGTTTGTTCCAGTTGTTGTCTTTTCCAGTTGTTGTTTTCCAGTTGTTGTGTTTTCCAGTTGTTGTTTGTTCCAGTTGTTGTCTTTTCCAGTTGTTGTTTGTTCCAGTTGTTGTTTTCCAGTTGTTGTTTGTTCCAGTTGTTTTCTTTTCCATTTGTTGTTTTTTCCAGTTGTTTTCTTTTCCATTTGTTGTTTTTTCCAGTTGTTGTTTGTTCCAGTTGTTGTTTTCCAGTTGTTGTTTTTTCCAGTTGTTGTCTTTTCCAGTTGTTGTTTTTTCAAGTTGTTGTTTTCCAGTTGTTGTGTTTTCCAGTTGTTGTTTTTTCCAGTTGTTGTTTTCCAGTTTTTGTGTTTTCCAGTTGTTGTTTTTTCAAGTTGTCATCTCCTTTGGCAAGTCATATAATAGTCTTATTGATAATCTGTCAGCACTGGCCTTTCGATCCTGGGCTCGTATGATGTGTGTTAAGGCCATCAACTAAAAGCTGAGTTTTTGTTTTCATCCTCAGAGAAACAACTACGTCAAGAATCATGCAGTAGCATCGGCATCAATAATAACATCACACCAGTCATCCCTCCCCAGCACAGTCAAATTAGAGTCAGCAGCAATGTAAGACCAGACAACATAAAAACACATGAAATAGAGGCAAAGTGGTGTACATAACCTTAACACTTAATCAGATAAGAATTGATTATTGAGAATGAAAAGTGCAAGTTGTACCGAGGGCAGACGCTACAGCTGCTTGTTGTCCTTCAGTGAGGGAGTTTTCAAGGCTACAGGCACATGCAGATTCTTAAGCTTTTGCTTTCAGAAAAAATATAAATACAGAGCCGCTGTGCTCTCTTCTGGCAGATATCATCTCACTGTCCAACCTCGCAAAGTTTTATGAAATCCATTTATTTACCATTAAAGTCTACTTTTCACAAAATTAATGATTTAGATGTGCATCTTTGCAGCTCCCCATGCCAATACAAGTGAATCAAATCAAATCAAATAAAATTGTATCACATGCGCCGAATACAACAGTGAAATGCTTACTTACAAGCCCTTAACCAACAATGCAGTATTAAGAAAGAATACAAAAAAAGCACAAAAAAATACGATATCAAATAATACGAAATAAAAGTAACAAATAATTAAAGAGCAGCAGTAAAAATAACAATAGCGAGGCTATATACACGGGGTACCGGTACCGAGTCAATGAGCGGGGGCTCCGGTTAGTCGAGGTAATTGAGGTAATATGTACACTACCGTTCAAAAGTTTGGGGTCACTTAGAAATGTTCTTGTTTTCGAAAGAAAAGCAATTTTTTTGTCCATTTAAAGAACATCAAATTGATCAGAAATACAGTGTAGGCTATTGTAGCTGGAAACGGCTGATTTTTTATGGAATATCTACATAGGCGTACAGAGACCCATTATCAGCAACCATCAGTCCTGTGTTCTAATGGCACGTTGTGTTTGCTAATCCAAGTTTATCATTTTAAAATGCTAATTGATCATTAGAAACCCTTTTGCAATTATGTTAGCACAGCTGAAAACTGTTGTGCTGATTAAAGGAGCAATAAAACCTGGCCTTCTTGAGACTAGTTGAGTATCTGGAGCATCAGCAATTGTGGGTTCGATTACAGGCTCAAAATGGCCAGAAACAAATAACTTTCTTCTGAAACTCGTCAGTCTATTCTTGTTCTGAGAAATGAAGGCTATTCGATGCGAGAAATTGCCAAGAAACTGAAGATCTCGTACAATGCTGTGTACTACTCCCTTCACAGAACAGCGCAAGCTGGCTCTAACCAGAATAGAAAGAGGAGTGGGAGGCCCTGGTGCACAACTGAGCAAGAGGACAAATACATTAGAGTGTCTAGTTTGAGAAACAGGCGCCTCACAGGTCCCCAACTGGCAGCTTCATTAAATAGTACCCGCAAAACACCAGTCTCAACGTCAACAGTGAAGAGGCGACTCCGGGATGCTGACCTTCTAGGCAGAGTTGCAAAGAAAAAGCCATATCTCAGACTGGCCAATAAAAATAAAATATTAAGATGAGCAGTCTGAGATATGGCTTTTTCTTTGCAACTCTGCCTAGAAGGTCACCATCCCGGAGTCGCCTCTTCACTGTTGACTTTGAGACTGGTGTTTTGCGGGTACTATTTAATGAAGCTGCAGTTGCTATACCAGGCAGTGATGCAACCAGTCAGGATGCTCTCGATGGTGCAGCTGTAGAACCTTTTGAGGAACTGAGGACCCATGCCAAATCTTTTCTGTCTCCTTAGGGGGAATAGGTTTTGTCGTGCCCTCTTCACGACTGTCTTGATGTGCTTGGACCATGTTAGTTTGTTGGTGATGTGGACACCAAGGAACTTGAAGCACTCAACCATCTCCACTACAGCCCCGTCGATGAGAATGGGGGCGTGCTCGGTCCTCTTCTTTTTCCTGTAGTCCACAATCATCTCCTTTGTCTTGATCACGTTGAGGGAGAGGTTGTTGTCCTGGCACCACACGGCCAGGTCTCTGACTTCCTCCCTATAGACTGTTGCGTCGTTGTCGGTGATCAGGCCTACCACTGTTGTGTCATCAGCAAACTTAATGATGGTGTTGGAGTCGTGCCTGGCCATGCAGTCATGAGTGAACAGGGAGTACAGGAAGGAACTGCGCACGCACCCCTGAGGGGCCCCCGTGTTGAGGACCAGCGTGGCATTTGTGTTGTTACCTACCCTTACCACCTGGGGATGGC